TATTACAAGACCCAGTGAGGAATAATAACACAATATAGAGCAAATTCTGTCCTTTTGTATATTATTAAATCTAGACCAATGTTCCACCTTTTCATTCTTCAGCATAAGGACGTCTCAAAGGGACTCTCCTCTTGTTTTGGCGTAGAGGAGCATTGAATGTTTGCCCTCTATGTACTACTGAAGGACAGTAGGCTTTCACAAAGTCCTCTTCTGAAGGAGGTCTTGCCTTTTGGCATTGGTCTGCCTTCCTAAATGGTACTGATTATAGTTTAAATAATTCTTTGTATTATGGGCTGAAATTATTTCTAGCCAGGAATACAAAAATTAATATGTTCTCTCTTCAGAACTTCACTGCTAGTTAGAGGATGCTCTATCTTCTTGTAATCAGTCACTTAACTCAACATACTTTAAAAAAACCCCTTTATATTCCTACTTGTTCTATTTTATTTTTCCTTACTTGTTAGCAGAGTAATGAAGTCCCCACTGCCATCATCCCTAACAGAATGAAATTTTGCATACAGCTCTTTTGGAAAGCTATTGACAAACTGGAACATGGCCAGTTAAAAGTAATAAAAGGATTTCAATTTATTTAACATGTATTATATGCATGTACAGCTCTACTATCAACGTTTTCTGCTATTTGACTGATAAAAGGTGAGAAAGGAATCTCTCGTGATTAAATAGCTAAATAATAGTGCAGAAGGAATGCATAAACATCTGGGCATCAGATGTTTGTGACCAGATGAGGTCAGTGTTTCCTCAGTCAGTCTTTTTACCAAAATAAGATCTACACCACTGTTTGCCTTAGTTTATAACCATTATTTCTAAACATTTCTTACTTTATAACCATATATTAGTGGATAGAATTTTAATAGAGATGCCTCTACTTTTTAATAGAAACACCTCTATTTTTCTGGCAATGCATGAAAGTTCTATGGTAGAGCCATAACTTTTATACCATTCAGACTTGATGCACTGAATATGGGCAATGCAAAACAACTTCTTATCCAACTCCTCCCCATAATAATTAACAAGAGGAAACAGATTGGCTTAAGGCCATGAAAATTCTCAACAGCAGTCAATGTATTCTTTTCTCCCACTCAGAACATTGCTGGTGGGAAATCTCCATTTGTGGAGTTTTCACAAATAAACTTGAACACCTGTGATAATGTAAACAGTGTTTCAGTAGCAAATCTTTCTTTCCAGCAGAAGAAGTGCACTCCTCCTGCATTCAGAGACCCCTCAGCTTATTCTAGCTAGTTTAAATTGTTTCCTAAATATTTCACCTTTGTTAATTCCTCTACTCTGTTAGCAGAATGAGGAGACAATGAGATATATTACCGAAGTTGTCAGCAATTAACTGTCTGAATCTCATGCACAAGCACATTTTGTTGCAAGGTACAATAATTTTTCCCTGTATGTAATCACTGTGCAAGCAGATCAAAGTGAAAGAGAAGAAGTTGATTAATTAGATTAGTTTGATTGGAGAAGATTAGGTATACCCATGCCACAGATAGGATTTCCTAATACTAATAATGACTTCACCAATCAGTTTTAGCATGTTTATGCTACTCTGTGCAGAGTAGATTTCTATTGTTGATATTACCTTACAAGCTAATATATTGTTGTTTACATCCCATCTTCCACACAACCAGGATGCTAGGTTATTGCAACACTTGGTATTGGCTCTGAAACACAGAAGTGGGAGCTACAAGTATGGCAAATTATTCAGCGTCCTTTTTTCTTAGTTTTCCCCTAAACTATATCTATTTCCATTCATGCAGAATATTTGTTGGGCTGTTTCTTCCATTCATGTTTAATTGGGGTGTATGCATATCTCTGTGTGTTTGATCATTCATTCATTCTTGTCTTTCTGCAAATTCAGAGTTTTCTTGAATATACTGCTGCTCCTAAGCCAAAACAACTTGCAATCCAATGAATTTCTAATCCAAATAGATCCCATTGAACCGAATGGGTCTTATAGCCAGCTAGATAATATTGCAGTCTGAATCCCAAGAGTAAAACCAATTATGCAACTTCATGCAAAGTAAAGGATATCTGTTGGCCATGCTGATTGAGAACTGTGGAAAAATACCACAGGTTTCTGGGGATAGATTTTAATGGGCAAAAACAATGCATGGAGAAATTCCTTTCATAAAGCACATTGCTTTGCTATATAATGCCAGGGGGTGCGATGTTTTAATTCCTCTGGCTCCTGTGAAGGCTTTCTAAACCTTTCAGGCGCAATCATAATGCATTCTTGGGAAATGCCTAGTCATGAATGCTGCCGCTGCCCACTTTATTCAAGGGACATGCCTCTCCAGTCAAGTGGCAATCTGTCTTCCATCAGCATTAACTGGGCAAGAAAGACATTTTATTATGAAAATCTTGCTTAAAGAACTAGAAGGGAGGAGACAGAAACAAAAGGACAAAGAAAAAGGAAGTCAATAGTTTATTTTGAAGCTCGGGCTGAAATCAGTCAGGGATTCCAATGACACATGTGCACAGAGACAAAAGAAAAATCCCATCAGCTTTAGGTCACTATCTATTAAATCAAATCAAATCTATCCTGCATCTAGCTCTATTTGTCTCTAATTTGCTGTATTATTTCTCTGATCTGCAACCCAGATTTTATCAACTAGGCTCCTATCTTTCTTGATTTTCCACCAGTTCTGGAAAGAACTCTGGTAGGAACAAAGCCAAAAAGGAGCTGCCTGCCTCTTCTTTTTAAAAACTCATCTGGGAGGTGGGGGCGAAATCTTCCTTCTTGTTACTGGCTTTTAAGATTTTGATTTTCATAGGCTTTATTTACTTGGATACTTTTTTGAGCTACCTTCTCTATTCATGATCTCATGTATGATTCTACTTCTAGACATGGACAAAATGAACTACATTCTCCTAGCAGCATTCATTATTCTAACCCTATCCTGCACTTCTGGTAAGTATTGTGATATTTCTGCATTTTTAGTAAAGAGAATGGACTAAGCCACATTGGGATGTAGGAAAGCAGTAGACAACAATACTCTCTGTCAATAGAATCAGACATATCCAAGAGCATTTACCCCATTGCAGTCCATTAACATGCTTTCTGGCTAAAAGTCTGTAGAGATTTTGTTACGGTATGTAAGTGCTATACTATGTCTTCTAAATAATATATATAAGATGCATTTAGCTAAACAGGATTGAAATGGGAGGCTATAGAAATGCTAGCTAACCAATATTAAGAGCCAGGGTGGCGCAGTGGTTAGAATGCAGTATTACAGGCTAATTCTGCTGACTGCCAATTGCCAGCAGTTCGGCAGTTCGATTCTCACCGGCTCAAGGTTGACTCAGCCTTCCATCCTTGCAAGGTCAGTAAAATGAGGACAGATTGTTGGAGGCAATATGCTGACTCTGTAAACTGCTTAGAGAGAGCTGTAAAATACTGTGAAGTGGTATATAAGTCTAAATGCTATTGCTATTGCTATTGATTCCACCGTGAATAATGTCTGCATGCATACTAGGCAGATAGAAAATGTTGATTCTTCATTTTGCCATAAGCAGGATGTGATAGGCATACCTCAGTCAGAATGGGACAACTCAGTGCAGCCAGCTCACCATTGCCAAAATGCCTCTTCACCATTGGCAAGTTGCTGCAGGACAATTCAACATGGCCAAGTCCCTGTTGGGACAACTTACTGCAAACAGCCAAAGGGAGAGCCAGGCGGGCAGGCAGGTGAGGGGATCGGCAGAGTGCAGAGCACAGCGGCCAGGGGCTTCCCACTGGAGGGAGAGCCAGGTGGATGGGCAAGTGAGCGACTGGGCAGAGTACAGAGCAGCAGTGGGGCCACGTGCTTTCCATTTTCGCCACCGCCGCTGTACCAAGCTCCAATCCCTTCAGAGTTTGGGCTGATGCCGGCATCAATGCCGGCAATGTTCGGGCCTTTCGGTGGCAGTGGCGGTGGGCAGGGAGGCGGTGGAGGCCAGGTGTTTCCCATTTTTGCATACACACCGCAGCTGTCATGGGCCATTTGGCAGCGGAGGATGGGACAGGCAATAGGGATGTGGCAGAGGCTATCGTGTCCTATTTTCACATATTCCACTGCCATCATCAAACAGCCCAAACACTGCTGCCACTGAATGGCCTGTGGCAGTGGGTATTAAAATGGGACATGCCCAGCCTCTGCCACCTCCACACTGCCAGCCCCACCCACTGCCGCCACCAAATGGCCCATACTCTGAATGGCTTGGAGGTTGGTGTAGCGGCAGCGGCATGAAAATGGGAAGCCCCTGGACGCTGCTGCTGTCACTCTGAGCTCTGCCACCCATTCACTCACTTGCCTGGCCTGTTCCCCCTCTGGTGGGAACCCCTGGCTACCACTGCTGCTCTACATTCTGCTCACCTGCCTGCTTGCCCGGTTCTCCCTCCAGCTACCTGTGGCAAGTTGTCCCCATGACAAGTTGGCCAAGTTGAGTTGTCCTGTGATGACTTGGTGATGGTGAGCTGGCGGCGGTGAGCGGGCCGCGCCAAGCTGGCCATGCTGAGTTGTTCTAGATCCTGCCTTAGTATGGTATGTGAAGTTCTGGATGGCCAAGAAAGTAGTTCATGTTCCTTTCCATATTTGGCTTTTCATATATAAACATTTTAATCAAATGTCTACTTTACAATGTACAAATGTCAAGAGAGTTAGATGGGGCCAAGCTCTGTATATTATTATTATTTATTTCATAATCTGTCTCTTGCTAAAACCTTGTAACTAAATCTTAAGATAATTGTGCCTACGAAACTAAGCTGAAAATTTCTTCAGACAAATCTCAGTTTAGATACAAATATTCAGCAGCTTTAAGTAAATATTCTGCTAGTCCTCATATGCATATATGTACATAAAAATATTGATTAGATAACAGCAGTCTACTAAACAAGGCTGTTAAGTTACTGAAATAATAATAGATGTGAGATAATTGAATGGTGTATTACATAAACCTGGCAGATAAAAAAAAATACTGTTTATGTTTCAGGCTATGCACTTCGATGTTATATCTGTGAACAAAGTCCTTTTCTCTGTAGAACCAACCTCACCTGTTCTGAGGAAGAAGATGCTTGCTTGCAAATTAGAATGGGTATGTATACTTTGCATGAATAAACTGAACTTTGGAACAAGTATGTTCTGGTGCAAATGTGTTTGTTCTGGATCAGCCAGTTAGATGAGAACTGTATGTTAGAATCAAACCGTAAATATCCCAATTCACGACAGAGGAATTCTCTACCGAATACCCATTACATCAAATCGATAAGTCACTTAGGGTACAATTGTTCAGTCATCCTCCCCGTTGATTCAAGTAGTGTTGTTACAAATAAAAGACTCTTAAATTCGAGGTGACTCAATCAATACTAAAGAAGGGTGTAATCACTCATACTTCAACGCGCTGTAAAGGTTTTTCTGTCAGATTCCAACCATTATTTTTAAGCTTTTAAACTAAAAAAAAATTGTTGGGTAATGAAATGATATTTTGACCAATCAGGAAAAGAATTCATTATCAAATCTTGGTATGTCACACTGAAAAAAGGGAATATGATACTTGGAGGCCTGTTTGAAACAATTGCTAATGGGAAAATTCTAAAACTAAAAGATTATAATACAATGCTTTTTCAAGAACGATCATAAATTGTAACACTCATGATTGCTGAAGATAGTCAGTAGAATGAGAAATTTGCAGAAGCTGGAAATTATCCTAAACAGTGCAATCTTGAAAACTGTTTAAATTGCTTAATCAACATTTAGACACTTCCCTTGTGCCCTATCCAGCTTATTGTCTCATTAGGATTTTTATCAAAATTATTGGAATCTGGCAGCACTTTTTCTGACTTAGCACATATTTATTAAAAGGCATTCATAAAAGGTTTTTGTACGCTGCAAGCAGTTAATGACAACTTATGCCTTTTAGTAAAATCTATTAGCTGGAAAAAGTGCTACTAGACTCCTGATTTTTTTTTACCATAGATTAATGTTTGTCCTCCAAAAACGTTAATAAAATTATTGTTAGCTAGATCAGTCAGACGCCTACAAAAAGGTGATAAAAAAGCACTTGGAAACCTAACCTGGTTTGATAACAATGCTCTGATTCTTGGATCTTCTCCATCTTGGTTTCCTGAAAATTACAGTCTTATTTTATCTGAATTTCCTATTTCTGAAGTCATCCATCTCCCAAATCTGAACCTCACCCCTTGACTTTTTCAACCAGGGTGGGCTCAGAAATTAAAAAGGGCTGTACAAAGTTTTGGATTATGAGTACAACTGACTGCTTCATCAGTATCATTCCTTAGGCCCCAATTCTGCTTTTATCTCCAGAAAACTGCTTTCTAAGATCTGGATGTGACAGCTTGAGTCCTTAAAGAAATGTAATACCTACAATTGTTACTATTACAAAAGTACATATGAACTTAATAAAAGAGTGAAATTCTATAGAAAGAGCACCTGCAAGCAGCCATGAGAAACAGAAAAAGAACAAATTATGTAAAATCATTGTGCATGACATAGATGTCATTGTCACTTTTTTCCATTGGGAGAGATACCTGAAAACAATCACTAATACACAGACTGTTTTTTTTTTCCAAATTTTTTTTTATTGTTTTCAACATAAAAAAGAAAACACATCACAAATACATCACAATTGAAACCCCCACCCCACCCCCCACCCGGACTTCCCAAACCTAATCCCAGGATACTATTCAACTAAAAGTAACCTTATATTAATATCCCTAACTCCACAAAGTGTTATTCTACATAAGTAGGTGGAATATATATATATATATAAAAAAAGAATTTTTTATCTAAAAACCTAACTTATATTCCACCATTCTATGCTTATTTTGAATATAAAC